AAATAGTTGTCGATACTGTTTTTACTCGGTAGCTGTAGGGGTGAGAAGCCATTTTTCTTTGGGAACCTTTTCTCCTGTTTTTGGTTAGGGAGGCAGGTAAGACACCTGTAATTTTTGTTTGGGGTTTTCTGTGAAGGTAAGTCAGCTGCATTTCATTTCTAGAGTTTTTGTTTGTTGTTTTGGCCATTCTCACCCTGATGCCTGCTACCTTTTGGGACTCAATAAACTGACTGGCTGTTGTGAAATCCGTGGTAGTTGTTTTTTGTTGGTTCGTCCTCCTTAAGAGCAGGGAGTGGGGGGGCATTTTTCCTTATTTTTATTTTCCTTATGTCGCACACCGATTCCCTGGGCTGGGGTGTAACATAAATGGGGTCTCGTCCGTCTTTGCTGGAGGGTCCGAGGGACCGCTTCAGCTTTCGTCTGTCTTTGCTGGAGGGTCCGAGGGACCGCTTCAGCCTTCCGTCTTCGCTGGGGCAAATCAGAACTGACGAGACAACGAAGCGTAATCTGAACACACTGAGATAAGACAGACCTTCAAAGTAAAACAGGAAACACATAACAGTCACGCCTAAAACAAAACACTGACAACATCGAATCGTAACACTACAATGTAGCTTGCTATCGCCAGTGTGTGAATGGGTGAATGACTGAATGTAGTATGAAGCGCTTTGGGGTCCTTAGGGACTAGAAAAGCGCTATACAAATGCAGGCCATTTACCATTTTATGGAAAACCTCTTTGAGGATAATGACATTCATGAACTTTTTAACTACTTCTGGTTTAGGTTTTAGCTGTTACTATTCCTTCCGTAGTTTATCAGAACCATAGGTGATGTAAAATATGGATTGTTAGATTATAATATTATTTTATGCCATGTTATACCCCTAACTAAAGATTGTGAATTATGTAGTTTTAGTTTGCATTATTCTCCTGAATTAGAAGAAGCTGATAACTATTGCATTCGTTAAACTGATTTGCATTATATTAGACTGCTGATTTATTGTGGATGAATGATATTGTTTTATGATGTTATAAGAAATACTGTTTGCAGAAAGTCATCGCCTTATTTGTCTGATTAGAAGAGAACAGAGCATGCTGGAGTTTTCTGCCCCAACTCAGCAGGAGCAGATAAACGGGGAGCCAAGGTCGTAGCTTAGGCGCCGTGTGAGAGAAAAGCATGTGAATGTTTAGGCTTTTATGATAAGGTGGGAGAACCAGAGGCTATAAGAGTTTGAGCAATGCTCCACCATTTTGAGATCTGATGCTGTCTGCGTACGGTGTCCATCTCCCACGCGTGTGTTCATTAAAATCATCGTTTGACTTAACCCGGCCGGACCAGTGTTGTTATTGTGGTTTTTCTCTTGTCTCTATCCCCAATATTTTGAACCATAACAGGATGTACCCACTGTGATTTCACCGACTAGTTTGGCTGCCCCATGTTTTTGGAGGCAGAAGTTACTATATATGGACGAGAAGATGAAGCCCTAAGCTACCAGCCAGTGCAAGCAAACTTAGTTAGCAGTCAGCATCTATGAAGCCACATTATTTGTCTGATAATTCCATTAAAAGGGCTCCAAAAATGCACAAAACAGTAGAGTTCCAGTTCAGCGACACCATTTAGCAGAGATGACGCTTAGCAGACACACAATCAGCGACATTTGCATTTGTGCTTGTTCTGCTGACACGTGTCAATATGACCACTCCCCTTACTCCGCCTAAAAAAAAATCTCAACCTTGCCAGTTTTTTATTGCAGTAAAGTCGGACATTTTAACATGGGAGTCTTTGGGGATTAGCTATGTTCTGGAACCAGCGTCACATTTTGTTTTCAGCTCCAGAGGTTTCTGCTTTCATTGTGCTCAGATGGTTTTCAGACATGTTTGAGCAGATGTATGTTAACAACTATGTTGAAATTAAACTATGCTAACAGATGGAGATTGTTTTCTTCTTAAAAGTTCTTTTTTAAATGGCAGACCTTTCCACAGATGTTAAGCCATATTACATGTTTACCCAAATGTAGTGTGGAATTGGCGAGGTTATGACTGCTTTAGAGTTCCCAATTGGTAGAATAAGTACAAAGGTTCTGGGGCAAAGCTAAAGCATAGTGGTGAGGCCACAAATACACTTAATTCGAATTCTTTATTCCATGTCATTTTCCTCAGTTACGTTCATCTCTTTATTGCACACAAATTTGAGTTGTTTCTATGACTTTCTATGACACAAAATAAATGATTTCAGTTGCTTAAAGCAAGTATTCGGCATTATCTTTTTGTCCCTTTTGAAAGGAAAGAAGCGTGAAAAAAATCAGGCCATTAATGTTTAATCTTGTTAACCTTGACACAGTTTAAGTGAATCTTTATTTATCACTAATGCAGGTATTTCTCTATCTATCTTGGCTGTGTTGGCTCCCCTTTAACTGTCCTCTGTCCCTCTCTGTCCTTTGTTCCTCTGTGTGTGTCCCAGATCCAGTCTTTAGTCACAGACTCAGCAGGACACAAGCTTCTGGTCTTGAGTGGGCAGAGCTCAGATCACGGTGCCCTCCTCCTTCAAACTGGTGTTTTCACCTCCCAGACCTTTTCACGTGTCTTTACTGATCCTGAGGTAAGCCATCTACTGTTCTTTGGTAATAATGAAACGAATAACAACATTCAGATTTTGCATTCACAGTTATGTGTGTGGTTAAAAACTGTTTACTCTCAAAGGACAAATGCAAATTTTTATCAGCTGTAAAATGACTACAAAGACAAACAATATGTATAACTGTATATTCCACAAAAGATGACGAGAATTGAAAGTATTCCTGTCCCAACTTTCTAAACGTTCAGTTTTAAAAAAGATCAAAGCTCGCAAAATTAAATTAAACAAATAAATATGTTAATTAAGTGAGATAGAAGGGTGTTGCACAGAGTTCAGAGAGGAGTTCAGACAGGCTCTGGGTAGTAGGGACGAGTTACCAGACGACTGGGAAAACACAGCTGTAGGGGTGAAGAAGGTGTTTGATGTGTATGATCTTCTGGACAGAGGAAGAAGACTTGGTGGTGGAATGAGGAAGTAAGTTAAAGGAAAAGATTAGCAAAAAAACAAAACAAAGTCGGATAGTTAGGGAGATGAAGAAAGTAGTGAGACTAGGTGTAAAGAAGTGACAAAAAGAAAGGCTTGTAGTGAGTTGTATGTTAGGCTGTACAGTAAGGAAGAGGAAAAGGATGTGCAGCAAGTTAGGGTGATAGAGACAGAAGGACTAGAGGTCTAGTGAAAGCAGACGATAGGGTGCCAAGAGAAGAACTGTGGTACTGGATGGGTGGAAACGAGTGTCAGGGGTGATTTGTGACAGACGGATAGCAGCAAGAGTGAGAGGGGAGGTTTATTGAGATGATAGTGGGACCTGCTATGAAGCATGGTGTGGAGATGGTGACACTGAAGAAAAGACAGGAGGCCAAGCTGGATGTGGCAGTTGAAAATCTTAAGATATTCATTGGGTAGTACCTGGATGAACAAGATTAGAAATGAGAGAGACGTTTCAGATTGAGCGGCTTGGAGACAAAGTTAGAGACACAAGGCTGCGGTAGTTTGGACATGTGCAGACAAAGGATGTTGAAGATGAAGTTTACAGGTAGAAGGAAAAGAGGAAGACCTTAGAAGAGCTTCATGGATGTAGTGAAGGAGGACATGCAGTGTGACAGGACACCCGTAAAGGGAACAGCCGAAAGAAGAGGAAGAAGAAATAAGTCAATCGATTATTAAATAAAAAGCACTATAAATAAATAAAGTCGTCTATTAATTTATATTTAAAAAATCTGTATAATTTACTTCTACATTTATTTGCCTTTGTTTTATCATAAGTTCACTTTAATTATAAAGTATTTTATAATGTATTTGTTTGCTAATTATTTACCCTTCACTTTGTTTCCTGTTTGCTTCCTTAAATGTTTATTTATTTCTTTTTACACTTTTTGCATTTCTGCATTATGGAAATGAGGGCTTGTCATTCAAAGTGTGCCATGGTGTCACCTTTGTTGATCAATGCCAGGCTCACAGCAGAAATGACTTCCTTTAGTCGGGAGATTGCTGAAGAGCTGCGGCGCTTAGCTAATCTAGCTGAAAATAGTGCAGTCAGTCAGGACTATTTACTTTTTCGTGTGGATGCTCTGACTTACCGTCTGTTTCAATTAGCAGCATACATGCACACACGGCTGAACCTTCAGTTTTAAATAATTTTAAGCAAGTCATTGTCTAAGCATCTCATTACAACACAAAAATAATACAAAATCAAATTAAAAACTGAAATCCCCAATTGCCTATTTTTATTTTCTGTATTATTTATTTATTTATTTAGGCAGTTTTGGTGGTTCGTTTAGTTGAAATATCATTTTTGTCATTTCTTCCCTTGACATAAGAGTTTATGTTGTTTCTATGCGTATGATCACTGACTCAGACATGTCTGGGTGTGCCTTTCTTGCAGGTCAGTGAATTGCTGGGCACATCAGCCCCCAAGCAGCAGGCTACACTTACTGTGTCCTGCCGCGGGGAGGTGGGCTGGAGCTCCCTGGGACAGCAGCAGACCCTGCGGGAGTTCTTTGAATACAAACTAAACCCTGAACCTGTTCTGCCCAAGATGGAGGGTGTCACAGAGTTCACAGAGTACGTCTCTGAAACCGTCGATGTCCCTTCACCTTTTGACCTCCTGGAGCCTCCCACTTCTGGAGGCTTCCTGAAACTTTCTAAGCCATGCTGCTACATCTTTCCGGGCGGAAGAGGAGACTCTGCTCTCTTTGCTGTGAATGGCTTCAACATCTTAGTGGATGGAGGCTCCGATCGAAAGTCCTGCTTCTGGAAGCTGGTCCGCCACTTAGACCGCATCGACTCAATACTCCTCACACACATCGGCGCTGACAATCTCCCGGGCATCAATGGGCTTCTTCAAAGGAAGATAGCAGAACAGGAAGAGGAGCAGTCACAAGGCTCCACCAACTATAGTGACTGGATGAAGAACCTGATTTCTCCTGAACTAGGTGTTGTGTTCTTCAACGTGCCAGAGAAGCTTCGCATGCCAGAATCTAATCTTAAAGTGAAACGTAGCATCGAAGAGGCCTCGCTTACTTTGCAGTACCTTAACAAACTCGGTGTCAAGCCGGAGCCTCTCTTTCGAGTTGTCAGCAACACCATTGAGCCCATTACACTTTTCCACAAGATGGGAGTGGGCCGGTTAGACATGTACATTCTCAACCCTGTCAAAGACAGTAAAGAGATGCAATTTTTAATGCAGAAGTGGGCTGGCAACAGCAAGGCCAAAACTGGCATTGTGCTGCCCAACGGGAAAGAAGGAGAAATATCTGTGCCCTACCTGACATCAGTCACAGCCTTAGTTGTATGGCTTCCTGCCAGCCCTACAGAAAAGATTGTTAGGGTGCTGTTCCCCGGGAATGCGCCGCAAAACAAGATCCTAGAGGGCCTCGAAAAATTAAAGCACCTTGACTTCTTGCGCTATCCTGTTGCCACACAAAAGGACATTGCCTCAGGAGCTCCTCCCTCTGTTATAAAACAAACCAAGTTAAAACAAAGAACGGATAGCAAAGAGAGTCTCAAATCCTCTCCGAAGACCACTGCAAAGGCCCCAAAGAAAGAAGTCGAGGGGCAGGATGATGTGTCAGCCACCACAGAGGCAAAGAGTGACTCTGTGAAAGAAAACATATCAGAGAAAAAAGAGGAGAAAAAGCCCACTAAGACTATAAAATCTAAAACTGAAGTGCCAGAGAAGAAAAAAATCATGAAAGAAAAATCACTGAAAAAACATTCCAAGGAAAGAGTGTCAAAGATGGATGAGAAAAAGGACAAGGAAAAAAAGGAGATCAAGAAAGTGAAGAAGGATGACTCTGCCAAAAAAGATGACAAGAAGGATGCAAAGTTCAAGGATGACAAGAAGAAGGACTCATCCAAACCTGAGCTAAGAAAAATTACTAAGCCTGACCTGAAACCACTTACACCAGAGGTAAGGAAGACATTACATAAAGCTAAAGTGTCAAGTAAAGCCAAAACTGGCAAAAGCAAAACGGTGAAGGTTGAACCCGCTGAACCCAAAGCAGAGGAGTCCAAACCTGAAGTTATACAACCTGAACCGGTAGAAAATGGAGCTGTTGAGGGAACATCTGTTCCCTCCACACCTGAAGACCTCACCAAGGAGTTTGAAGAACTTAAAAAGACTCAAGTTAAAACGGTTTCAGCAGAGCTGGTGGACAGCAATAAGGTCTCTTCTGAGCCGCAAGCAGGAACAGAAGAGAAAAGAAAACACGAAGAAGTGTCTGAAATCCCACCTGGAACAAAGTCCCCTGAAAAGGAAGCACCAGCCGCAGAACTCAAAGCTGAAGCTAAAGACGAAGACAAGGAAGTGACTCAGGAGCCAGAACTAGAAGACGCTCAAAGGTTTGAAGATGAGGGAGCACAAACTCAGGATGAGGATGAGGAAGAAGAGGAAGAGCCCCCAGCTGCTGTAAAGAAAATACAGGAGGAGGTGGAAGAAGACATGGGAATAGGTGAGGAGGAAGATGAGTCAAAATGGAAGGAGGCAAAAGATGAAGCATTTGATAGAAAACACGAGATAGAGGAAATGGAGAAGTCAGAAACTCTCTTAGCCAAGGTTGTGACTAAAGAGGAGCAACAGATGATTCCATCAAGGGATGAGGAAGAAGAGGAGGCAGTGGAGAAGGCTGAACTGGAGGAGGTGGAAGATTTAGATGTAATAGCTGATGAAGAGATCAAACCTGAACATATGGATGAAAGCAAAACCACAGAAATTCTGACTGAGGTCAAAGTGGAAGAAGAAGAAGAAGAAGAAGAAGAGGAGGAAGGCTACCTATCACATGTTGGAGGGGCTACTGCTCCTATAACCTCAGTAGCTCAAGGTGCTGCTGCAGCTGAACCCATGTCCTACATCCAAGATGAAACTATTCCTGGTTACTCTGAAACAGAACAGACTATCTCTGATGAGGAGATTCACGAGGAGGCAGAGGAGAGAATACCACATCTTCAGTATGACGTCGGTGCCTACGACATCTCTGTTCCAGATCAGACGGGTTCATTTGTAAACATCCACGGCATGAGGGAGATACAAGCTGCAGCCATGACAGAGAAAGGTTTTATTCCAGGTGTGCAAGAGCAAGTATCGGTGTTCACCAACATCATCACTGCTCCTCTGGCAGAAGAAGAGCATGTATCTTCTGCAACATCCATAACAGAGTACGACAAAATATCCTCCTTTCCTACATCTATCGCTGAAGATCAGTCGGTGGCATCCGTTGCAGCACCTCAATCTGAAGAGCCGCCTAAAACTCCAGGTCCCCTGTCCACTCCGCCTGACTCTACTCAAGGCAAAGAGCAGCCACTTTCTGCAGAAACTCTTTCACCACCTTCTTTGGAAGAAGACAAACAGTCCAAGTCTCCATCTGATGATCTACAACTTCCTGTTGCAGAAGTGCAAATGGCAGCTAAGGTTGTAGATACTCAGGAAGAGGAGGAGGAGGAGGAGGAGGAGGAGGAGGAAGAAGACCAAACTCCTAATGTTGAAATTTCACTTGAAAAACTCCAAGAGGGCTACGCTTCAACCCAATTGTTGCAGGGTAAAGAGAAAGACATTGAAAAAGTTGCTAGCTCGGGGTCACCTGAAAAGTCTCTACAAGACCTCAAACCTGACCATCTACCAGTTGAAGAGGAAAATATTGACGCAGTTACACCTAAAGACATTTCATCTGTTGTGCCTACTAGACCTTTCGGATCCGACTCAGTGACTTCAGAGAGCGAAGAGCGTTGCTTCAGTCCAGATGATGTCACTGTGAAAATGGCCTCTCCTCCGCAGTCTGGACCCTCAAGCGCAGCTCACTCTCCACTTCGTCAGTCACCAGTGGAAGACAAGATGAAGCTCCCTGATTTGGAGCTGCAAAAGCAAGAGGAATTTGGCGATATAGTGACCACAACTGAGGACAAAAAAGGTGCAAAAGATGATGCAAAAACTGAGACAGAGGTTGATCAACAGAAAGCAGATCAGCATGAAGTAGAATCTGCAAAATCTTTGGACAAATTATCTGAAAAAGACATGAAAGAGGCTCCAGTGATCAAAGACCAAGAAAAAGACGCTTCATTCGCGCCAAAAGATGAAGGAAAACAGGCAGAAACTTTACCTGTTGTTGCACAACCTGTAACAGATGTACAACTACCAGTTTTAGGGAGCAATTCACTGGAATCTGACGACAGGCTCACAGAGAAAGAACCTAAAGTGCCTGAAACAGGTAAATTTCCAGACAGGGAGAGTCGTTTCCTGGACGATGATGATGATGATAACAAGAAAGATGATGACGATCATGATGATAAACCTGCAGTTAAAACCATCAAGGCAGAATGGGAAATGGAAAATGACGATACTTTACATGCTGAACAAATCAAGGAAGAACAGAAGCAGGAATCTGTCATTCAGGAAGACATTTCAGCCATTAAATCTGTCACAGATGAGAACACACAGAAAGAGGCAGTGATAGATGATACTTCTGATGCTAGACCTGTCAAAGAGGAAGTGGCTAAGGACACATTGACTGTTGATATTAAAGATGAATACAAGGAGCCAGAAAAAGACTACACCCCAGTGGCCCAAGAAGTAGAGGTAGAAACTGATGCTCCTGAGGACAAAAAACTTACAGATGAACAGAAACAGAAAGACGAAACACAAAAAGATGATTTTGACCTCAAAACCACAGGTGAGGTTAAGGAGACACAGGTTAAAAAGGAGGATGTGTCTGATAGCAAGATTTTGATGGAGGAGAAGGAAGAGACAGAAAAGAGTGACACCCTTCATAGTAGCACTTTTAAGATTCAAGAAAAAGAAGTCAAAGAAATCCACCTTTCAGATATCAAGCCTGAGAAGGAAGACATGGGGAAAGAGGGAAAGGAAGAAGATCTCCCTTTCAAGGAGAAGAAAAAGGAGACTGAAACATTAGATACTAGTCAAGTCTTCAAAGATAATAAAGAGGAAAAAGAGATGGATAAGATAGATTCTTCTGCTGCCACACCCTTTACTGTTGAGCAGAAAGAGGAGAAAAAAGAGATTTTTGACATTACTGTTCCTAAAGTCAGCAAAGAAGAAGAAGACAGTATTAGCAAAAAAGATGAATCAGCCATTACTATAAAAGAAGAAAAGGGGCAAGAGATTAGTATGGATATTACACCAAGCCTTACCAAGTCAGAAGAAAAGGATGCAACAGTGTGTAAAGATGACTCTGTGGCTAAACCAGCCACAGAAAAGCTAGAGAAGGACAAAAAAGAGAGTGATGACACCACAGCTCCCAGGGAACTGGCTAAAGATATAACAACAAACATGGACGACGCTTACATCTTCACACCCACTGTAGAAGAGGAGAAGAAGGAGGGCATATGTAAAGATGAGACTCCTCCTGCTATTAAACCTACCTTGGCAGAAGAAAAAGATAAACTTACAAGTATAGATGAAATTTCTGGTGTTAAACCAGCAGGTGAAGAAGAAAAGCAACAAGAGGAAAGTAAAGATGCTGCCACCATTAAACTTACCGAGATGGAAAAAGATCACCTGACCGTATCTAAAGTCGATAGTTTCTCAGCTACACCAACTGAAGCAGACACAGAGAAAACACTTCAGACCGTCGAACCAGTTGTAGAAGAAGAAAAGGAACAAGTATTGAGTAAAGACGTAACTCCTTCTGCCATACCCGCCAAGATGGAGGAAGAGGATGCAATGATGAGCAAAGAGATTCCTCCTGTCAAAACAAGCACAGAAATTGTTGTAGCTGGTGCTACACCAGCAGCGCAGGACGAAAAAGACAGAGAAAATGGTAAAGATATTTGTGCTGTGGAATCAGCCACAGAAGAAGGAAAAAGGAAGACGACACGTGAGGACGAAATGCTGACTGTCAAACTGTCCAAGGAAGAAGAGACAATCCAGGATCATAGTGTTGCTATCGAACCCACCAAGAAAGAAGAAAAAGATACAGACGCTATTAAAGATGTAATTTCTGATGCAAAACCCTCCATAGTGGAGGAAACCAAAGACACAGCTGGTGTCAAGTCCCTCACAGACGAGGTAAAGGAGGCTGAACTTAGAGATGCTCCATCAGATGTAAAACTCATCCAGGAAGAGGCAAAAGAAATACCAAAGGAGGAAACTTGTGATAAAGATATTAAAAAAGAGGATGAACAGGTTATTTCTGAAGGGGCACCCATAAAGGAGATGAAGGAAAAAGACACTGATGATACCAACTTTCAACCCACTGGGGATGACAAAGTTGTGGAAAAAAGTGACATTTCTGAGAAACAAAAAATAAAGCAGGAGAAGAGTGATACTGATGACCACAAAGCTATTTTGGAAGATTTGAAGGATAAAGAAACTGTTATGGGTGATGCAACAAAAGAGAAAGAAGCCGACACCACTGACGAGCAACCCACAGATGCAAAAAAAGCAGAACCATCTAAAGTTAAAACCATTAAGGATGAAACAATAGATACGGTCAAACATCACATTTGTGATGCAGAATCTATCAAACAGGAACCGGAGAAGGAGGTGTACACTCCAACAGTTTCTAAAGAAGAGAAGGAAATAAAAGATGATTCCCCTCTTGAGCCAGAATCTAGGAAAGATGATGGAAAACTAGTAGGTCTTTCACAGACCCAGACCTTGGAAGAGGAGAAGACTAAGAAAGATTATGTTTTTGATATTAGTGATAAACATGGAGTGACCTCTGATAAGCTTCCTGAAGCAGATAAGAAGGATATTTTTGGAGCTGCATCAGTCGAAAAGCAGCCAGACTCTTTGGCAGCAACGTCAGTAAAAGATGACGTTTGTAAATCTCCTGACCAAATTTTAAAGGATACAAAAGAAAAAGATATAGAATCAGGGGTCATTATTGGTGTTGAAGACAAGATGGGAAAAGAAAAAGATGATACACATGTTGCGGAACTGAGCAAAGAACAGAAAATGGAAAAAGAGCAAGAAAAAGAATACACATACGAATCTGAAGGCATCACAGAAGAAAAGAAAGAGACAGCAGAGGACGAAACAATGATTAAAGAAAAGGATTCTGCCAGCGTAAAGACCGATGAGCTCTCAGAGAAGGAAAAACAAGATGTCTCTGATGCAGACCACACCAAAGAGGAGAAATGGGAGAAAGAGGAATTACAGGAGAAGGACATGGACAAAACCATTAAGCAACCTGCTCTGGTGCTCTCTGGAGAGGAAGTATCGGCATCCAAGTTAGAGTACAAACCTGCATTTGTGGTTCAGTCATCTGATGAAGACAGAGAAGATGAAGAGGATGAAGACATTTGTATGGGAGGAGCAGGTTCCAGACCTTTGTCAGTGGAGCCTAGAAAATCTGACCATGACATCTCTTCTGCAGGTTTGCCTTTAACCCAAACGGTACAGATGGGTGATCAAACAAAATCACCTACATCTCAACAGCCCACAGTGATTATACCTACACTTACAATGCAGGAACCCTCTATGGATGAGGACTTCAAAGAGTTTGGGAAAGAGGAGTCCATGCTTTTCCTTGAAGCAGACAAAAATATTGCAAAAATAGAAGCTACACCTGCACCACTCGCCAAGCCCGAGCCATCCTTTGATATTCCCACATCAAAGGAGACAACCTCTGCCAAAACAGAACCAGTGTCAGACTCATCTGAGAAAAAGCCAGCACTGTCAGCAATATCAAGCACAGACAGCCAACCTATGAGCTACACACTTTCAAGTACTGAAAGCCAATCTAGCGTGGAGGAAATGCCACATCAAGAGAAACAGATGCCAGCTGAGGTGAGCTCAGGAATCCAGAGTGCTCCAGAGAAGACAAAACTGGATGAGAAACCAGTAAAAGAAACAGAGAGAGAGATGGAAGGAGAACGAGAGGTGGCGTCTCCGGGATTATCACAACCTTGTTCGTATTTTATGCTGGACAAAGATTCTGAACATGTCAGACGCACGGCTGGCCCAGCAAAAGTGGAAAGTGAAAAACTGAGCACAGAGGAGACTGTTAGTGGAAGGCTTGAAGACGAGAAGCACAGCTTTGGCGCCTCTAAGTACGATCCATATGAAAAACCTATTCCAGGAGATCACGATTTGGACTCACGAGAAGTTTCTCTTGGTTTTGATCATGCTTCTGACATCTGTATTGATGATAACAGAAGATCAAGCCAGGCGGAAGCTGGAGGAGCCATGTTCCTCCTGGATGAGCAGTACAAAGAAGAACCTCTCTCATTCAGCAGAGTCGACTACAGCCCAGTTTCCCTCACAGAGAGCGAGCGAAGCAGCCACCACAGTCGAAGTGCCTCCCCAAGATATGAAGACCGTGAGAAAGGCCAAGAGGAAGAGAGTGAGAGAGAAGAAAGGGCAGACACACCATATGTTGACAAAAGCTTTTCAGCTTTAGAGGTGCAAGACAACAAAATGTCTCAAGCTGCTGAGGCCTATTCTTTCACTCCAAAAGAAGACAAACCAGAGAGGTCAGAAAAAGAGAAAGATGACATAAAGGAAGGTGCTGCAGCAGCCTTTCAAACACAGGCACCAGTAGAAAGTGATTTAGAGTCCAGCAGTGCTGCTCTTCAATCAGCAGGCGTAAGACAAGAAATACCCTCTCCCTCATGGAGCCAGACAGATCTTGGTGAACAAGCATCAGGTACTGCTTCACCTTTTGGAGAATTCAGAGAAAAGGAAGCAACAGAAAAAGACAAAGAAAAATCTGAGGAGTCACTCAAAGACAAAACTGACTCCTGCGACCATAGAGAGGGATCTCCATCTGGTCGGTACTCGCCTGCAGAAAAAGACATTTTACCTCAGCAGCCATCGGTGTTAGAGAGAGAGGATGCATCGAGTGATTCAAGGAGTCCCTCTTCGGCCACATTTATAGGACATGAAATTGATGATAATGTTTTGGCATCTGATTATAGCGAAGTTAGCAGTTCTGCTACATCTAAATCCTTAAGTTGTGCTGAAGGAAAAGAGAGCCTGATAGACAAAAGATTACTTGTTGAGGGAGAGGATTTTAACGTTGATGATGACGAAGATGAAGATGAGGAGGAGGAGGAGGACGAAGAAGAGGAAGAGTCAAGTGATATAGATATGGAAAAAGGTGCGAGAGAACAGTCTGAGAAGGAAATGTGCAGACGTAGCTCTGGTGACAGTGCTGGGTTAGCAGAGGTAGAGGACTCAAATAAAAAGTCACAGGTCCCTGACTCAACTAAAGAGGAGACTGTATGTAAGATGACACCTGATGATGCCTCAGCTTTTAAAGCCGTGGATAAAGAAGTCCAGGATGTAAGTAAAAAAGCACCTGAACCAAAACCAATTAAAGAGGAGGCCACTGCTAGAGATACAAGCACATCCAAACCTCCTGAAGCAGCAAGTAAAGACGAAGGCAGAACAACTTCATCAACAGACACGTGTGCGCAGAAAATGGATGAAAGCTCTGTTGCTCCAACAGTTACACCCAAACATACTGAAGAAATAAAATTAGAGGATACTGACAAAAAGCATTTGTCCCCTGAGCCATCCACAAAGAGGAGGTTGTCGTCAGCAGAGGGTGTTTCTTCATCTGATGTACTAGAATCAAAAAAAGGAGTTGGAGATAAAGAGTCTCCATCACCAGAGTCAAGTCTTTCATCAAAGGAAACCTGTCACCCAACATCCACGAGTAGCTTAACTGGCAGCTCTTTGGCAACAGACCAAACTGATTCTATGTCAAAGCCTACGTCCAGCCCATCCTCACCGCTAACAGGTAGCTATGCTGATATTGGACATAGTAGGTATGAGAGTTACTACAGTGAAGAGAATGGAGTAGCATTGAAGGATGACAGGAAAGACACCCTTGTGCTCTCAGATGCCTCCCAGCAAAGTGAGGATAAGTATTTAAGCCAAAGAGATGTCCAAGAAGGAAGTCAAGATGTGAGGCGTACTTCTGGTATCACAGAAAAACACGAGGACTCTACCTCATCACCTTGCCCATACACAAGCTTAACATACTCCGCTTCGACGTACTCCTCAACATCGTACAGTTATTCATATTCAGGGTCTACCCATCTGAGCCAAAAGCTGGGAGGCAAAGATGAACCTTATAAATTATCAACCTCTGAAGTATCTTTGGCCAAAGAGGAACCATCAACTGCGGCAGCGTCAACAAGTTCCTGCTTTGGAGGGTTTCAAAGAGACGAGTACATGGAGGTAATGACAAAACCTGAAACAAAAGAGTCCTTGCCCAGTCAGTTTGCAGAGAGCAAACCATCATCTCCAGGCTTGTCTACTACTGCCAAGCAACCAGAAGATCAAAGTAGTTCTGTAAAGCCAGACGCAAAATCTTCTACTGACAGCTTTCATATGCTTGAACCTGTGTTAAAAGCATCCACAACAGCACCATTTTTACAAACTACAGGAGACGTTAAGGAGAGTTCATCCACATCAGAAGCACGCTTTGATGTCTCTCCCCTCCAAAGGGCTGACTCTTCTGACAAACAGTCCCAAGAGAAGGAACCTGATACCCTTGAAATGGAGGATGGTACCCTACCGTGTCGTATCGAATGTCAAAAAATCCAAGTAGCTGAGCAAAAACAGACTTTCTCATTAATAACTGAATCGTGTGTCGCACATAGTACAACATCCTCTGAAGAAACAAAGACAGTCGCCATTACCTCTGCAACCGCTGTGTCTAAACCTGATGCAACGGTGGAAACAGCTCAACAGGCAGCATCGGTCACTCCGGTGTGTGACACTGACACTACCAAAACCTCATGTGCCGTAACAGACCTGCCCAAATCAGAAGAGGTGAAAGAGAAACAATCGCAGGTAAAAGAAGAAAAGAGTGCTGGGGATACTGCACCACTAAAGGATGATGCCAAGGTGTCAGAAAAAGAATCAAGTGAAAAAGATGAAAAGGCAGACAAAATGAAAGACACTGAATTCAAACAGGTAATAGAAGAAAAGAAACCAGAGGAAAAGAGCATTAAAGACATCACAGAGGAGAAAAAAGTAACTTGTGATCCCAAACTGAGTGAAAAGGTAGAAGATGGGAAACAAAGGGAGGCCGAAATAGCGGAGGAGAAAAGCTTATTGGAGATGCCGTCTGAGAGATTAGAGGTAAGGAGAAAGAGCAGTATATCTGATTGGGAGCTTCTACAAAGGCCGGACGACTTTCCAAGTGCCCCCCCTCAAGGTTATGGTGATGATGATGAGGAAGGAATGGAGTGGATGGCAAGTGCCCACAGTACCTCAAAAGACACGTACCACACAGAAACATCCAGCAAAGGAGATGTAAAGACTGATCGCCCTGCGGATTTGAACACTGGAGCAACTTCCTCCTCTGAATCCCCGCCAGGATTCTCCTCCTGTGAATACAAACATCGCAAAGGCGAACTTTCTCCATCCTTCATCAACCCCAGCCCTCACCAGCTCTCCAGTGATGAGGGTGAAGTTGATTGTGGAAGTGGCCACTCCCAGGAAGGGGGTGAGGATGATCAAGAGCAGCACTCTGTGAAAAGGAGGTCACACAAGCAGAGGCGCCACCATGCTCAGAGTCACCATGGAGATGCCGGACAGGGACAAGGCCAGCTGCCTGGTGCAATGTCATCTGGTTTGGCTGTGACTTTAGCTGGTGAGGAGACACCACCGACATCAGTGAGCGAGTCATTGCCGTCACAGTCCGACTCTGATGTCCCTCCAGAAACTGAGGAGTGTCCATCAATAACGGCAGAGGGAAATCTGGACTCAGACGAAGATGCTGAGCATCTGCCGGTGGACAAATTATCTGGAGCTGGTGGTGGCCACCATCCTTCATCACCACGGTCATCTCAGAAGACTCACGATCCCCTTCCCGCTCCGATGAAGGACCCTCTACCCCACCCACCTCACCCAGATGTGTGCATGGTGGATCCAGAGGCTCTTCTCAATGATCACAGCAGTACAGAGAAAATTCTCAAGAAGGAGCACAAGACCACCAAGGGCCTGAGAAAGGGGAAACCCAAGTCAGCCTCTCCTGCTCGAAAGGGGGAAGTCAGGAAGAGGTCTTCTACTCCAGTGAAACAGTCTAAGGACTCTGCCTCGCCGCGATCAGCCTCCCTCAGGAGGAAGGACACAGACAGAAGCTCCAGGCTCATCAAAATGTCTGAAACCCATGGTTCAAGGAGCGAGATACTCAACCCTGGGAAAGGCTTGGTCAATGGCATCAAGAGCAGTTCAGGTGAGGTTAATCATTAACATTCGGTAACACTAAGCTTTTGGAAAACCAAATTTAATCAGGAGAGCTGTTATTATCATTATTGCCCCTCGATATTTGACCTTCACTTTACTGTGTAATGCATATTCAGAAGGAGCACTTTAAGAACTTTGCACATTTACAGCAGGTAAAATAAGCATCGAACAAGTCACCAATTTTCCAAGTAAAGAAACTTCTAAAGGTGCTATTGACATAAAATTATCACCAGACGTCAGTAACAGCCCATCCAATCCACACACGCACAGTCTTGCTAAAATGTTCTCACTTGTTTCATCTTCATCATCCTGGTAGATGGCAGCAGATTTATACCTAGAATATCTTGGCACATTTTCCCATTTATCCTTCCTTCTGTTATATGAAGCAGTACTGTATGCTAAAAAACAGATTTCACCTCCCACCTTCAGACTTCACTGTTGGTATGATGTTTTTTTGGTGAAATGTAGTGACTTTTGATCTCCATATATCGTGGCATCTAAAGACTTCAGTTTTGGTCTCATCTAGCCAGACTGAATCCTTCCAGTATTTCACAGACTTGTCTAAATGTTGTTCAGCAAACTTGAAATGTGCTTTAACATGCATTAACATTTCTTCAGCAATGGAGTCTTGTGTGACTCCATTGCCATGATACAGGCCATGGCGGTTGAATACATTACTTATTGTTTTCTTTGAAACAATTGTACCTGCTGATTCCAGGTCTTTCTGTAACGCTCCACAAGTACTCCTTGGCTCTTGGACAACTCTTCAATAAGGTTAAGGTCTCGAGAGAGCTCATTATCTAATTACTGATAGATTTCAGTAGGTGTCGTGACTTTCCATGCCTTTCTGCACCTCTTTTCTTAGAAAATTTATGATTTTTTTAATACTTATTTACCTGCTGTATTACTGTTTGATGGAAATAGCTTCTGGGTCTGAAAAGTAATGCCAGTGAAAAGGTTCCTTTAACCTGTATTATTTATAATGGCCAGAAGGGGTCCATGAAACATGATGTTCATATTTTTCATTTTGTATGCCTTCATCAGAGTAAAAAGAATGATTAAGCAGGGCAAGCTTCGTCAGACCTGTAGCATCTGCCAAAGTCACAAAGGCAAAAATGCTCAAATTGAGGCTTCACAGCTGAAAAATTATTGGCTATGTTTGTCTTGAATTTTAAGTCTATGGCTGTTGCACACAAAACAGTGACATCAAGGTTGATTGTATAACAATAGAACTCATTACTGACAAAGATTTTCTAAGAAAAATCACTTCAAGCGATAACTCCTCAGGTGGTGATAACATTAGCACTTCAAACAAAATGGAGAATGTTCAGGTCCCAATCGGATCACATTTAAAAATCCAAACAAAAATAATTTCGTCATATGAATGAATTAGATAATTATCTCACTTGATGAAAGCGCTTATTCCTTTGTGCATTTTCAGGAAAGTCATTTTTAATCTTTGAATTCTTATTTTGTATCCTTGATCACTTCCAGGTAATAACGCCCAGAAATCCAGTTCGACTGTCCCCCCTGGACCACCTGTCTATGTTGACCTGGCCTATGTGCCCAACCACTGCAGTGCCAAGAATGTGGACCAGGAATTCTTCAAGAGAGTGCGGGCTGCATACTACGTTGTGAGTGGGAATGACCCAAGCAGTGGAGAGCCTAGCCGTGGAGTCCTGGATGCCCTGCTGGAAGGCAAAGCTCAGTGGGGCTCCAATTTGCAGGTATTTACCCCCTCGCTGCCTTAGCTTCAGCATCTTGTTCTCTTTTGATATTTTCTCACGTTTTCTATGACTATAATATATGTACTCTATAATATATGGATAGATTACATCAGCAAGAGTTGAGGCTCGGGTGTGAAATTTATGGTTTTCAGGGTTTTTATCGTTATTTTTTAAATCGTTTTTATCATTAACTGTTTCCCTGGGTCTTTTACCATGTGTTATGAATAAATGTTCTTTTTCTGGTACCGGTACTAGTTTTATTTTGCTGTATTTACCCGCAACACCTTAAAGGCCGGCCCGTGAAAATATTGTCGGACATAAACCAGTCTGTGGCGCAAAAAAGGTTGGGGACCGCTGGATTACATATATGAAGTGCACAGCATAGATTCATTACTTTGGGAAACCATGGCAATCATGGAATCAACACTTTCTTATTAAAGAAGTTGGTAGACATCTGAGCTAAAAGGATAATAATCATAATAAGGCTGATGACTTCACTGTATCCTGCAGAGCACCTAATGTGTACATTTACTTGACCTTGTGGCCCACAGCAGCAAATATAACTAGAACGTCATTCTTGTCTCTAAAGAAAAGACAGCTATAGCTCAAGTGAGCACATTATCAATTATCAAATTGTAATAAAAAAATTAAACGTTTGCTATTTTCATTTCCGACTCCTTTCTTATATTCCTATAAGAGTAGCTTTGTGTGAGTCACAGCTCAAAGTAAACCTTATTTATCTCACACAGTTAATTGTGTGAGATAAATTCAGGGGTTAATTGGTGCAGCCCCTCAATTAACCCACTGTCTAAAAAAAGCTGTTTTACCTCATTTCCTTTTAAGCCAACTTTCTTCTGATTGGCTGCTCCTCCCAACTCACTGGACTTAAGAAACCGATTGGCGATGTCATGATAGCCATGTCCATCTTATACGCTGTCTATGGTGTGCACAACATGACCCTATTAAGGCTATTGAGCATTTAGAGCAATCTGAAGCCTGAGCTTTTGGCTCACATGGTTTATGAACTAAACATATTTAAGAAAACACACACTCAGCAACAGAGCACTTTAAAAATAACTGTGCACCTTGACGACCAAGGAATTCAGCTAAAGTTTTCCACAGTGTTTTAAAGTCTCCTGCTCGTCCTCTTGTTATCTAAGTCAGTCTTTCCATCAGAGTGCCGTGCCATTTCTTTGACTCATGCATCTATTGTTGGTAAATCCAGTTTTGGCCTCCTGTTCTACTGCAGTCCAAAATTAATTAAGACAGTAAAAATTTTGGGTTATTTACCAAATATGTACATTTATTGCCTGATAGCGAATCTTTAAATTTACAGTTGATAAAATTTAAACAACTGCTTTCGAGCATAGTTGTAATTTAGGATAGTCCCATACACAGTGAAAGAGAGTGGCTTTTCCCTCAAACATTTGACACATGTGTTAGAAATGTTCACTGGTGCAATATAATTCCTCATCAGCAGTTTGTATGTTAACAGTTTCGTTCTAGTTTGAATAGATTAAGTATTTGGTTTTAAAGAGTCCCCGCTCCCTTTCATCTGTATTCTGTCACACATGTCAGTACTGGATTCACCACTACGCAGCAAACAAGGCTGTTCTTATTGTGAAGAATAGAGTACCCAAGATGGCATCATGGCAGCTCACATTGCCTATATTTTGATGATATCAGATGTTTTAATTGCATGTTTTTGAAAATATTTTTGACAAAACTCATATATCTGAGATTACTGGTTAATTGTCAGAAGATTACTATCCACGTACAAATCTCCATTTTTTGGACACCGTTTCTCATCCAAATTCTAAGCAATATATGATGCATCCATAAGAGACAGAAGGGTGATATAGAGGGAGTATCTTTAATATGCTAATAAAATTTATATCACATGTCTATTGTATTTCTAAGAAAGGGGTTTCCTGTTGTTCTTTTTTGTATTTCAGAGTCTGCCTTGAGGTGACTGTTGTTGTGATTTGGCGCTATATCAGTAAAATTGAATTGAATTGAATTATAAGAACTGTTTTAGAGGTAGAGGCTCAGTCAGTCAAAAATAGAAGAGTGCAGAGCGTAACTGAGTGGATCAATAGTAGTACTTTCGGTTTGGACGCTGTCTTATACAGTCAGTGGCCCTGTGGCACGTATGAACAGCATTGATGATATAAGACATCTCTGGCAGGTAGATCTGTCTGGAGAATGGTTTGGAGACTATGTACTGTTAGTTAAAACACTAGCCATTGGACCTGTACAAATTCTGACTCCAGAGTCCTCTCCAAATCAATCTGTCCTACTCCCTTCCTGCCAGCTCGCCTCTCATTTCCTTTTGTTATATCTCTGTCAGGTTACTCTGATCCCGACCCATGACACAGAGGTGACCCGGGAATGGTATCAGCAGACGCACGAGAGGCAGCAGGACCTGAACATCATGGTTCTGGCCTCCAGCAGCACCGTAGTCATGCAGGATGAGTCCTTCCCCGCCTGCAAGATCGAGTTCTGAGCTTCGAGGGCACCGCGCCGCTTTTCCCGCCGCCAACAACCCCTCCCTCCTCATCATGACGTTAGAGCGAGAGCGAACAGTACTCTGCTTCTTCAAAGCTTCTCATTCTCTCATGGTACCAGTCTCAGACCCATTTGCTGCAGTCCTCAATACACTAGATTCTGTTAGTCAAAATTCTGGGCATATGCTTTGTGATAGTGGGGCTATCTCGCAAATAATACCGTACTTTTTATATTTGTTTTCTTCTGTGAGTTAAATGTCTGCCCTTACACATTTCTTATAGAAGCGCTAGCAGTTGTGGAACAAATTTAAATACTTTTCAAAAACATATTTACACCTGACAGATAAACATAGATCATTATCCCACAAAGGAATAATAATAATGCCACAGTTAAAGATCAAGATTAGTCACGTGTAGCTCTTACAAAGGTGACTCAAATTACATTGCAAAGTTAGACCTCCAAGTGGTCAAAACAAGTGCCAAAACACTACTGAACTAGGAATTCTCATCATCTCCAAAATGGTGTCTAAACGAATCCGTGATCAATTATTTCTTAAGATCATACGCAAAGTGTTTTTATAAGACTAGAAAAGCTTTCGTTTCTTAATCCGAACCTTTCTTTTCCATCGGCGTACACAGCAAAATGCATCCTTTGCAATTCAGCTCATGCTACAGTAGTGTTTTGATTAACTCGATAACGGCATAAATTGATGTTATGTAACAAAACAACAAAAAAGTTCCTTCTTGTGATTTGTGGTGAAGTTTTAGGAGGTGCCTGGAAAACTCTTTCTTCTTCTGGCTCTCACAGCTTAGCTGGTGCATATTGCTTGTGTTTTAGCTCGGACTCTTCTGGAGAGAACTGCGTAGGGTTAAACCTTTCTTTAGCCGGCCTTTCAAGTGTGAAATGCAGTATAGTGTGGATAGACTACTACACTGTTTGGCTGTCTGCGCTCAAGTGATTTCAGTAGGCGCCAGGCAAAAGGGACGACGTTTCTACAGTAATCACATCTCTGCTGGGTGTTCTTCTTTAAGTCTTTATCACAGTCTTTGTTGGTTCTGTGTACTCCAGTATGCATATAAGATTAATGTTTCATATCAACACAGAGTTTCTGTTGAATAAATTATATATTTTGTGATGATTTGATCCTGAGGCGAACGCAGCGTTTTAAGTGAGAGGGTTTAATTCTTGTCATTTCCTCCTGTTTAGCTACAATGTACCGTCTCCGTTAGTATCACAAAGGGATGGGAAAGAAAAAAACACAACAGCAAGCAGTGACCTGTGGCAAATGTAGCAACGAAAGCTTGCCTGCTCGTCCCTTCAGTGGTAACGATATGCCAGCGGGAACTGCAGTATTTCTATTTATTAAGGAGGGGGGTACTTTTCACAACAAAAACATGTTACAGGAGGCTTCTTTCACGTGCCTTTAGAGAGCGGAGGATGTTTTATGGACATGTCAGCCATTTTGAAGCAGAGTCAGAAAAAAAAAGAAGAAAGAAACCAAGCAGAAAACTTTAAAACTGAGGACCAATCTCTTCATACACTAAAGTTGTAAATTGCACTGCGATATAGTACTCTCCCACTGCTCAAACTTTGGAACCGTATAATTCAAGCCAAGCATTAAATCCTCATATCAAAATACTACTTTCTAACCAATATGAATGTCTGAGAGCAACGTGTTGCACCAAATAGCAATGCACTTTTCCGAGGCGGGGATGGGGCGCTGTTTGAAGTCGAAGCACAGAGAGTTTGTGTAGTAGCAGAGAGGAAGTTTTCAATAATATGAATTAAACTATGTACAGGACGTTCCTCCAGACTGAGCTTGCTAATAGCGAGGGACGAGATCAACGTGAAGCAATTGCCTGATGTTAGTCACAGTAATATATATATACATATATATATATATAGAGAGAGAGAGAATGAGCATGAATGTGGGTTATGGTCACAGATATACTGTAGGAATGTTTTAGAAGTAGTTTTTTGTGTGCTTGAGTATACAGTACGCTCTGAGTAGCTGTTTTTAATTGCAGCATGGTTTTGGTTTTGTAGGCGAGTTTTCTGTGAGTTCACTGTGAAAGGTCTTTCTGCTTGTTTACAGCCAGACTTGAGAGCAGCTCATATTCACATTGGGCCATGTTTCATTTCCTAATTTATATGCACATTTTTTAAAAGATATTCACAATTTAACCTTTAAATTTGGTGCTGCAAAGCAAATCCAATTCCGGTTTACTTTTCAGAGGTTAATTTGCTCTTTGTTTGAGATATAAAATCAAGAAATATTTTATGTTTTTTTGTTGTTTTGTTATGTTTCTTTTGTTGGCTGATTTAAAGCTAAAAAGGAGGGCCAGGATGGAGGACGCATGGCTGGTTTTGATTCCCAAAAAGTCCTTTTTGTCAGGATGTTGCTATTAAAAGCTTTCACAGCTAAACTTTAGTCAGTCCTTTACCTCAATTGGATTCAATACACGGAAGAAACTAAGGCTAGACCGCGTCATCACCTCGGGCTAGCCTGGGACCAGTGCCAATATCTTGCTGCTCATAAGACTCCTTACTTTATACCTCATCTTCCAATGCCTCGCTGTTCTGCCCGCTCTACTTTAGTTTTAAAATCAAAGATGGCGAACTCACACGGCTGCCACTGAATGTTGTTTTCCTTTTCTTTTCATCATAGCCCTCATCCATTATGCACTGTACAAGCCTTGATATGCATCCCATGCTTGTGTTGTTTCAGAGGCAGACATGGCTTCTGTGTGTTTTTCCTTTCTTTTAAAACAAATCACACCTGCAGAGAATCTCTGAGTTTGATGCAGGTTGTATATCAAACATCTGCGTACGCACAAGTACATATCCAGCCTAGCATGAAGGTTTTAAAATGACTCCCCTGAAGACATGTTTAAATGTCTGTGAACCGATCAAGCAAGCAAAAAGTCCTTTTCACTTCTCCTTTCGATGCTGTATGAGCTGGGATCAAAGCAGGAAGAAGCTTTTTATTAAATGTGCGAATCAGATTTTATGGATGGTCTGATTTGTTGTACTGTCTTTGAATAATGTTTTTAAGTTGGCAGATTCCAAATACCCGGCCTTGAGATTTTTTTCCTGAGGCATTAAGTAGAACGCTGTGAATCACTCAATACTGAACTGTATTGCTATACAGAAGCTGAATGCACTATACAGGAGATCTATTTTTCTGAATGTAGAGTTGGTACTACCATATGAATGCTGCTGGATCAAAAACAATAGACAAAAACAAAGAAAAAATGCAAATACAAAAAAAACATTCACACCAACTTAGACAGAAATAAATGTAACGGCGTGCAGAAGGCGAGCAGATACTGCAGTCTCAGTTCTGTTCCAAAGAAAGAGGAAGGTTCAAGAAAGAAACTGAGATCCCACAAGCAACATATTAACAGTAACACAGTAACATAGTACTAACTGCAGCTGCAACTTTTTCCTTTTCCTGAAAATGACTTGAAACACATGCAAACTCAAAACACCATTAATAAAATTGATAAACTCAATAAAATGCTACACGCACACTTGTGTGCTGTACACAGATTTGTACATATCACTCTGGAAAGAGCAAATCTGAAAGATACAACGAAGAAGCGAATCTTGTTTATTTTAGGCAGTTTTATGTGACGGGATGATCAAAAACAGCTGAAGCTACACAAAACGCTGATAAGATATGGAAAGAAAAAAAAGTGCATCTTTCAGTTCGATTTCATCTCCTGCATTAAAATGATCACAATCAACGTATGGTGTCATCTGTCCATCTAATCTTTCTGCATGTGATTTATTTAGTTATATCCTGAATGTACTTGTTTAACATTGAAATAATAATAACAATAATAATTATAATGAAAAAAAATACAACGCTATTTTAAAGAAGTATATTTGAAAAAAAAAAAAGCTAATTGTCTTAACTGGTACTGACCTAATATAAAACTGGGCTGTGCTTTTATTGCTTGCCCTATTAACATGTTGTAAAAAAAAGACACTGTACTGGTAGTTCTGTTTGATTCTTTCTTTCTCTCTCTTTCTGTCTCTCTCTCTTATTTTTATTTTTATTTTTTATTTTTTGCATTGTATTAAATTTATGGTTTCTTCCGCAGCGCAATATTCAATATCTCTCTGTCTCTTTAAATCTAACTGGTAAAACTAGAACTACTGCAGATTCATTGTAAAAGGGAAACAGCCTGGTGATCATCAATTAAAATATATGAAATCTAAATGTGGTCCCTGTGTGGTTTTTTTAAAAATTATTTTTCTTTTTTGAAAATGTCACTAAAATCTAACGGAATTATGAGAGACCACATACAGTATGTCATCTGCTGTATGTTTCTGTACACATGTTTTATGATTTTTTGTTGTTGTTGTTGTGATTTTGTCTCTGTGCACCACTACAGTTTGTTCCAGCAATTAAGCAATTCAGCTGTAAAGCAAGGTCTTATTATCTGATTAACTATTTTAGAGACATTTTTATACACAGTCCCCCATTTTCAGAGGCACAAAACTAATTGCATGATTGACTGACAGCAGTTTTCTGACCAGATGAGGCCCTGATCATTCTGTGATGAATTAATCAGGTAAAAGATCTGGAG